GTTGTGGCACACGGGCTTATTTGCTCCGCGGCATGTGGGATCTTCCCGGACCCGGGCTCGAACCCGTGTCCCCTGCATTGGCAGGCGGATTCTTAACCACTGCACCACCAGGGAAGGCCCCTTCAGATACTTTTGAAAATGAGCCACTTTGGAGGGTTGTTTCAGTGGTAGAAATTGGAGTTAGGTGCAGCATAGTTGTAGCAGACATAATATGACTGATTCATGTATGCAATACTTTAATTTGGTTAATAAATACACACAGAATAATACAAGAATGCATGAATGGACATTTAAGCAAGAGTTGGGGTGTTATCTAAAAGAACTGATAGAGAGTTAGTTTATTCTTTTTCACTATATTTTTATTAGAGTGTTGTTTAAATAGGAAAATCATATTTGTTTCTAGAGATATTTTTAAGACAAAGAACAAATAGAAAAGTGAATTTCTCAGTTAAGTACTAAAGATATTACCCTCTGAAATTCTAAATTAAAAAAAAAAAAGAGACGCACAGATGAAATAGAATGATCTCACTTAATTTAAACACTCAAAGTCATTTTAAAGAGACCACCCACTACTTTACAGAAAATTATGCATGCTCTCTCTGACAGCTGGCCTTCAAATATAGGTTCTTGGTAGCCCATAGTCTAATATCAATCATGTTCAAATTCAGTCTGTTAGGTGGTTTCCTAGACAGGCTTCACAGCTCACTTCATCCTTCAGTCTTTGTTTGCTTTTACTAGTAGAGCTTGCTCTTCTTTGAGATCCAGTAGTAGTAGTATTTTCTCAAGTGGGGAGCAGTATGCGTGCATGCACGCCTGCTCATGCACAAGTATGTCTGGGGCGAGTTCTCAGGTGAAATCAGCCACCTTTTTGTTTCCCAGACTAGGACACCTGGATTTATTTCCCCAACACAACTCTGAAAAATGTGGGGAAAAAAGCCCAATGATTTCTGTCCATTTCTTTGAATAACTGAATCATAATATTTTAAATTGAGAAGACAACATAGAAATCTCAGAATCTGATCCTTTCCTTTTAAACATATGGGGCCCCTGAGGCCCAATAATGTTCATGTTCTCACCAAGGTCACAGACCTAGGGAGCCGCATAGCTGAGGCTGGAGCTGGAGCCTCCTAACGGCCGGCTCTTCCCTTCCGCTCTCGCCCCTTCCCTGCTCAGTCAGCTTGCAGCTCTTCCAGCTTAGTTTGTATCCTGTATGGGATCAACCAGACAATTTAAAGGGCTTTCCTCAAGTCTTTGTGGTCTCTGCCATCTACTAAAATGTCATTGTTTCCTTCCCCTCCTGTTCTTTTTCCCTTAAAGCAAAAGAGCTGTGTCTGAACACCAGCTTCTCCATGACAAGGGGAAGTCCATCCAAGATTTACGGCGACGATTCTTCCTTCACCATCTGATTGCGGAAATCCACACAGCTGAAATCAGAGCTACCTCGGAGGTGTCCCCCAACTCCAAGCCTGTTCCCAACACCAAGAACCACCCCGTCCGATTTGGGTCTGATGATGAGGGCAGATACTTGACTCAGGAAACCAACAAGGTGGAGACGTACAAAGAGCAGCCACTGAAGACACCTGGCAAGAAAAAGAAAAGCAAGCCTGGAAAACGCAAGGAGCAGGAAAAGAAGAAGCGGCGAACTCGATCGGCCTGGCTGAACTCGGGCGTGGCTGGGTGTTGGCTGGAAGGGGACCACCTGTCTGACATCTCCGCGACATCGCTGGAGCTCAATACACGGTAACCGGCTCCCGGGGCCCCAGCTCCTCCTCTGTGTCCCCAGGTGGGGTGTGGAGCCTCTATTCTTCTTTGGCTTGCACAGACCTACAATCTCCTCCCTATCTGTCCCTCAATCAATGGCTCCACAATTTAAAAGCTTACAAAACCAAGATGGCTCAGGATACGGCCTGCCTTAAAGCAGTGTGCTCCTAGCCTTTCAACACCCACGGGGGTTTAATCACCCTGCTTCTTTCTCCACCAACAAACCCCGACACCAATCCTTTAGTGCTCTACTAACCCCTTTCGTTTTTTCACTCAAGCTTTAGAAGCTACTGCACCTTCACCATTTGTTAGAGAAACGTATTGATTTCCCCCACTCACACCATGTCAAGCTTTGATTGTTTTCTCTTTCTTTCTTTTTTTCACTCCAAGGGAGAATGCAGAAGGATTTGATATGACCTACAAACACTACAGAAAAATATCTTACCATAAACAGTTCTCAGCCGTCCACATTTTTTAATTTAAATTTACTTAAAATTTAAATATATTTTCATTTAATTAAATTTAAAATTTTAAACACAGGCTTTAAATTTATTTAATTAAATTTAACTCTGGTTTCTACCAGTTCATGGAACAAAAATCATGATTTCTGAAATTTTTTAAGTATAGACTTTGTTATAAGGTATAAGTTTTTCTCATGTATCTATTTGTCCACTGCAAGTTGAAATACTTCCTCTAGGGTATTATAGTAGGAATAATAAAACCACATCTATGTAGCTTGTTTATTCTTAGCTCACAGATGCTCATATGCACACACGTTGGAGCCAAAACCCTTAGGTTCAAGTCTTGGGTCTAAACTTATTAAAGCTCATAATGTTGGGCAAGTTCCTTGGTCTTTCTAAGACTAACTCCCCTCTTCGGTGAAATAAAGATAGTACTTGTGCCAACCTCACTGGGTCAGGTGAAGATTAAGTGAGATTACATGGAATTATTATTTGGGTGCTTTTAGATTTCGTTCTGGTTGTACCATCCATCTATCTATCTATCTATCTATCATCTATCTATCTATCTATCTACCTATGTGTGTTTCTGTGAGGCAAAAACGGGGCAAGTATTAATCTCATTTTATAAAATAGAAAACGAAGGCCTTCCACAGTTAAGGCAACTGAACAGACCTGGGAACTGGGATAGGCTGTCCTCAGAACTGCCTTTATTTCATTTCCTGACGCTTAAGTCAGCGCCGTGTTAGCACTGCACTTTACCCCTGCATTTCCGCTGATAGGATCTTTTTTGGTTTTTACTTTTCAGTACAGCTTTTCTGTGGGGTTTGAAAGAAAGAGGAAAACTACACAAGAATGCATCATATGCAATAATGATCTCATTATTTAAAGAGTCCCCTGTTACTTCTCCAATCCTTTCCCCTGACTGGTAGAGATAGGATGACAGAGTGATGTTTCAAAGGGGATTTTGAACCTTTTTACCAACACATCTATCTTCGAGTTACGTTGACAAAACCCATCATTAAATAGCATATAAATAATAGTTATACTGGCTAAGTAGTACAGCTTCAGTAATCAGTGGGCAGTGGCACTAGAGGAGTCTTTAGCATAGTGAATGATCTATCTGCAGATATCTAATGGATCTACAAGGGGTAACAAACCCCGTAAGTCTTGGCTTAATGCACACATTCAGTGTATTTTAAGATATGATCCTAATTGTACATATTTATAACTAATGCAAGTGTTTTACTTTATTGCCAGAACCTATTTTTATCCATTATATATATATATATATAATATATGTTATAAAAACAGAAGTAGAAATACTTTTGAATAAATTCTATTCATTTAAAATTTGCAATGCTCTTAAATATCTGGAGAATTGAAAACCAGCCCTCGTCAATTCTTATCCCAAAGGTGTCTCTAAGTTAAAGCAGATTTAGTAACCGTATGCTAACGCACATATATGGAATCTAAAAAAACGGTACTGAAGAACCTAGGGCCAGGACAGGAATAAAGACGTAGACGTAGAGAATGGACTTGAGGACACAAGGGGGAAGGGGAAGCTGGGACGAAGTGAGAGAATGGCATGGACATATACACACTACCAAATGTAAAATAGCTAGCTAGCGGGAAGCAGCTGCATAGCATAGGGAGGTCAGCTCGGTGCTTTGTGACCACCTAGAGTGGTGGGATAGGGAGGGCGGGAGAGAGGCTCAGGAGGGAGGGGATGTGGGGATACATGTATATGTATAGCTGATTCCCTTTGTTGTACAGCAGAAACTAACACAACATTGTAAAGCAATTATACTCCAATAAAGATATTAAAAAAAATAGATTTAGTAAAAATTAGGCAGTACCCTAATCAAATCCAGACCTAGGACTGAAAGAAGTAGAATACTTCTGCTTCTCCTTTCTGTTCCCTGGTTCTGAGGGATGTTCGTGGAAAGCACTGTTCATTTGGCAGCCAGATGTTGGCATTCTCCCAATACAATGCAATAGAGGTGTAGGGAAGAGTGGGGAAATTCAGGAGTGTACTGATGAGAACATATGGGGTCATGCAAATTTTGTAATCCAACTAGAATCTTTTCAGAATAACTACTTTAAAGATTTGTAAGCCTCCAACCTTTTATTAATGTCCTCTTTTTAATCTCTTTGCATTATTATACTATGATCTAAGAGGCTTGATGATATAGCAGGCACAGACTTTATTATAATATATAATAGTGGTGGTATTTCTTAAAAGAAACTATTGTGCTAACACTGTCTGGATCCTCTCACGTGAACCATTCAGTGGAAAATACATAGCTTTAAATTTTGGAAATTACATTTTGGAATTTTTGATGTTGCAAATGAGATGTCCAGTTACAGTAGAACTCATTTAATTGAGACCATATCATTTGCCTTGGCAAACACTGATTTAGAAATAATAGAAAAGCTTTTCAGTACTCAGAAGAGCTAGAGGTCTAAAGTGTTGTCATACTCATATGTGTAATAAACATATACATATACTTTTAGGTCGTGGTATATATTTTACCTGACTGTTCCACTGCATGCCTTTGTTAAAGAGAAACCAGAAGGACAGATAACAAGCAAACTGGCTGGGCAGGGTGAAACTTAATCAAAAGATCTTTTCCTTGGTCCTTTAATTTATTTCCTTTTTCTTTCCTTCTGAGGAAATAATTGTTTGAGACTATTCATTCCCTCCCTGCTTGTGTTACTCAATTCACTAAATACCATTTAGTACCAAGACCTTTAAAAATCAGTACACTAAGCAAATTATTGAGTTTGACAGTTGCCTTTTGGACTTTATTCATAGCATCCATCCATATCCACCTACCATTTAAAATTTTAATCGTAAACTATTTTTTTTTCTGTGTAACTAGGAGCTATTTCATCATTCCAAACAAGACTCTTGGTGAAGAGGTCAATTCCTTAAGACATTAAAACCCCCTAAATGCTAAACTTGTTTTTCATTCTTCAAGCTGCACATAAAATTCCTAAATTGTCAAGAGTTTGCTTCTTGGTAGGTCTGCCATGTAAAACTCTGGCTGTTAATGCAGTGACACAGCCAATCAGATTCCATTCCGTAGTTGTTTCCTTGACACCAATATGTATTCCCTGAAATAGACCACACAGAGAGGAGAGAAAAGGAGAGAGAAAAGCAGAGAAAAAGTCACTAGTTCATCTTAAAATACTGTCATTACAGTGTTTAAAAGGGTTCGAAAAGGTGTCAGTCCCAAGTGGTAACTTATTCTGGGTAATAAAACAAACACAGTGATGTGAAATATTGTTATTTTATACTTTTAAATTAATTGATTCTTATTCTCTAATTTAAAATGGGCTTTCCCAATCTCTAATGCAAGATTCAGTCAAAAAACTAGCAGCAATTCTATCTTAGTTTTGGCTTCAAAAACTAAAGTCCAATGATAGTTTTATTCATTAGTGTTTAAGGACAGCTAAAGAAGGACAGATATCATCAAATCAAACATACTTTGTTTAATTACACATCCTTCTAACCTTTACCCCAAATCACACACTCTACCCTCACAACAGCCCATTATCTTAGTGAGAGATTGGCCCAATGAGAACCTGAACAGAATAAGCAAGCTGTGCATCACCTCTGTTGGGCATCACCGGGAATAAACTTCTAAGCAAGGTGTATTTAATGATGTATTGCACAGCCTGGCCTTATTTCTGAATTCTCAAATTTGTCCCTTACCCATTTTCCTTTCTGCTGTACATTGACTATTTCATCAGATTAAAGACTCGGCCTGTAGCAGAGGTTCTAGAAAGTCAGGTGGATCCCACAAGCACCTTCTGTAAAAGATATTTACAAGCAGTCCCCTGAATCTCTTTCTATTGTGATTCTGTGTTCCTTAATTTACATCCTTTATTTTATGTCTCTTCATTTGTAAAGAGAATTAACCTGTTCTCTTCTTTCCCTTCTTTCTCTTTACAGGAGGCATTGAAATTTTCAGCAGAGACGTTCAGAAGACGTATTGCAGGATTCTGTAATAATGAACATATGGAAAGTATTAGAAATATTTATTGTCTGTAAATACTGTAAATGCATTGGAATAAAACTGTCTCCCCCATTGCTCTATGAAACTGCACATTGGTCATTGTGAATATTTTTTTTTTGCCAAGGCTAATCCAATTATTATTATCACATTTACCATAATTTATTTTGTCAACTGATGTATTTATTTTGTAAATGTGTCTTGGTGCTGCTGAATTTCTATATTTTTTGTAACATAATGCACTTTAGATATACATATCAAGTATGTTGATAAATGACACAATAAAGTGTCTCTATATTGTGGTTGATTTTAATGAATGCCTAAATAATTATCCAAACTGATTTTCCTCTGCGCATGTAAAAATAGCAGTATTTTAAATTTGTAAAGAATGTCTAATAAAATATAATCTAAATTACACCATGACTCAGAAGGTAACTTTTATGTGTACATAGATATATCCTTTAAGATTTCTAGTAGAAGAAACATGATGTAATTTTTAACTGTATTTGAATATGGTCTTAAGTTTAATATGTTTATATTGGTACAAATTCCAACATTTTCACATTAGTTTAAAACCACTTAAAATGTATTTTGTCCGATATTTAAGTTCAATTCAGCAGAACGGCTGAATTATCTAGACATCATTTTATGAAGTACATCCAATTCAAGGTGAAGAGTGGAGAGGGCAGAAAAAAAGCAGAGAAAAGTCAGGAGAAAAAAAATTAAAGAAACTTAGTCCAGAGAGTTAGCCAGAGTTGAAAAACAGGAAGAGAGGCAGATCAGGAACTTTAAGGCCAGGGGTAAGTTTAATCAATGTAAAGTTTAATTTGAGAGAGCTTTTGCCCCTATTGGTCACATAATAAGCATAAAAGAGCTACTTGAGAATTCTACCTGTTAACCTTTCCTACCAGAGAAAGGAGAGAGACTCAGGTTTGGGAGGTGTGTGGCAATTCAAAAAGCTGTCACCGGGGCTTCCCTGGTGGCGCAGTGGTTGAGAGTCCGCCTGCCGATGCAGGGGACACGGGTTTGTGCCCCGGTCCGGAAAGATCCCACATGCCACGGAGCGGCTGGGCCCGTGAGCCATGGCCGCTGAGCCTGCACGTCCGGAGCCTGTGCTCCGCAACGGGAGAGGCCACAACGGTGAGAGGCCCCCGTACCAAGAAAAAAAAAAAAAAAAAAGCTGTCACCGGTGAAGATAGCTTTCGTGGGACATACCAGTTCCAGGGACCAAGTTTGCAAACAGCATGGATGTAATGCCACATGCAATCCCCTTTACATTTTGCATATCATCCTGGTTGTTCCTACCTCTATGTTCAGATGAAAACACAAACATCTTCCTTCTACAGAATCTTTTTCTTTACAGCTGAGAACTCATCAGTAAAAATCCAACACAAGAAAATAAAAAGCCCATGAATCAAGCAAGCACATATTTCATCAGTTTAGGCTCAGTATCATGTTTGGTATCTGTTAGATGTTTGGAGGATGCACAGGAAGCAAACTTCTGTAAATGGGGACTTCCCTGGTGGTCCAGTGGTTAAGATGCCATGCTTCCAATGCAGGAAACCCGGGTTCGGTCCCTGGTCAGGGAACTAGATCCCACATGCATGCTGCAACTAAGAGTCCTCATGCCACAACGAAGATCCCATGTGCCGCAGCTAAGACCCAGCACAGGCAAATATATAGATAGATAGATAGATAGATAGATAGATAGATAGATATTTTAAATTCTGTAAATGCCCTCAAGAGTATACATACGAGTCCGCCTGCTGATGCAGGGGACGCGAGTTCGTGCCCCCGGTATGGGAGGATCCCACATGCCGTGGGCCCATGGCCGCTGAGCCTGCGCGTCCGGAGCCTGTGCTTTGCAACAGGAGAGGCCACAGCGGTGAGAGGCCCGCGTAACACAAAAAAATATATATATACATACGTATACATGAAACAACTAAACGTTGTATTCAAGAAACTGAAATAATCCAAAATTCTATGAATATTTAAAAATGGGGGCTTCCCTGGTGGCGCAGTAGTTGAGAATCTGCCTGCCAATGCAGGGGACACGGGTTCGAGCCCTGGTCTGGGAGGATCCCACATACCGTGGAGCAACTGGGCCCGTGAGCCATGGCCGCTGAGCCTGCGCGTCTGGAGCCTGTGCTCCACAACAAGAGAGGCCGCGACAGTGAGAGGCCCGCGCACCGCGATGAAGAGCAGCCCCCACTTACCACAGCTAGAGAAAGCCCTCGCACAGAAAGGAAGACCCAACACAGCAAAAATAAATAATTAATAAACTCCTACCCCCAACATCAAAAATAAAATAAAATAAAAAAATAAAAATGGGGGGAAAATCACATAGGGAGAGATTAGGCTGATCTGGATGTGAGTAAGATAATGTTTCTGGGAGGAATATTCTAAGATTGAACTTATTCATAGCTTCACTTAAGTCCCATAGCCTTCAAGCAGTGCCCATCTTACTATTTTGGGTAAGAATGTTGAATCTATGTTAGTGAGCACACATGAGAATTTGTGCTTAGCTCACTTGTGAATTTGTTGCATATGGTTTTTATATCTAAGGAATATGCAGAAGTTAAGACCAATACGTTAAACCTGTATAAAGCAACTAGCTTGGAGAGCCTTAAAACCAGATATAACCATATTTTGCAAAACTCCATCTGAAACTCTAAGTCTTAAGACTGCACCAAACCCTTATGTGTTGTTCACATGAAAAGTGTTTTTTAAACGCTAATGTGGTAAATACCTGGACATAACGGCAGGGAAGCATCAGATTCAAGTCATCTTTAGGCTTTTCTTCACAAATAGTCCATTCCTGAAATGAAAAGGGGGAATTTATAGTTACCAGTTCTGACCAAAACATTATTAATGCCATTATTACCTTCAGTCATATCCTTGGTCTTCAAGTAGTGATAGGAGTAAAATCATAGGATAAGGGATGGGATGGGAAGATGAAGGAAGAAAAAAACCTTTGGGGGAAAAAGTCATTTTTTCTGACATTGTTATTTTCTATGAAAGAAAAACTGAAATACATAATTTAAGATAATAAGTGTTTGAATGTAAATAAACTCTTAGCAAATTACGGCCTAAGTGAATATGGCTCATGCTTGACTTAAGTAATTTTTATAAAGCAGTAATGATTTAAATAGAGGCAAGTTGGACTAAGTATTCTGGAATTAAAAACTAAAACCTAATCTGCTAACTCACTATTGCCTTCCACAAATTTTATTCAGACAGAAATTTGGTATATAATTAGATACCTAAGACATATTTATGGACATTGGGAAGTCCAACTACAAAAGACAAGGAGTGGTACTTATGTGTGAAGACCCTATTCCTTGCCTCTGTGTTTTCTTAGCCATCATTGTAAAACAGGTGCAGGGCTACATAAGTGATAAACCCAGATCAGTGTTGACATTATTGGTCCTGAAAATACCTAAAATCAACATTGGCATCTAGCTTCCTTGTTACAAAAATTGGGAATGCAGGCAGCATCAATCTGAGAAATAAGGGGAAATTGAAGCTTTTCTTAGGAAATAGCATAATTATACACCTTGATGGTTAAGAATTTTGTTTTAATTTTCCATTACCTAACCTTAGTACCTGTTGAGCAAAGTAGTTATTTAACTTTCTATAACTACCATACAAGGACAAAGGGAGTCAATTGTTTTAAAATTCAAAAAGTTCTTTAATATACTATATATAATGGACCCAACAAGAAGAACAAAGTCAAGAATTACTTTGATTTTATCTTATAGTCAATTCATTAAGTGAATCCTGAAATATGGTTTAATAGATGCTCAAAGTGCTTAAAGAACACAAATTAATGCCTTTTGCAAGAAATTCTGATATACTTAAACCATCACAGGGCATTAACTTTAGGATAATCTAGGGTTTAATTCTAGAGCATCTTACAGTTTAACTGCTATTTTTCCCTTTGGCTACAAAGTTCATGGAAAAACAGAACGAGCTGTGAACAGAAACAATATGTTGAAGTTCAGTGGGTTCATCTTCTGTAACAGGGTGCACTTTTATTGAGAGTTCTAAGTGTTCCCAGGAGGTATTCCCAGTAGAGCCATCGTTCATTCCTTAAACAAAGGGTAAAAGACATCCCAGGCACAAATACTGGCTACTTCTTATTTAATAACTCAGAAGGTGTTAACAGTAAGACTGTCATCAAAGATTCTATCATTGGGCTTCCCTGGTGGTGCAGTGGTTGAGAATCCGCCTGCCGATGCAGGAGACACGGGTTTGTGCCCCGGTCCGGGAAAATCCCACATGCCGCGGAGCGGCTGGGTCCGTGAGCCATGGCCGCTGAGCCTGCGCGTCCGGAGCCTGTGGTCCGCAACGGGAGAGGCCACAACAGTGAGAGGCCTGCGTACCGCAAAAAAAAAAAAAAAGATTCTATCATACAGTTAGCAAAACATGGCCACATGCTAAGCTCCTCCTAAGGACTCAATCAAACGATTCAGAGGAGGTGTTAAATACTGGTAGCTACGAAGATTCCAAAGGCTGAAGGTATTACTTCACTGAATTATACTATCATGTGTCCTGGGTCAACTCCTTAAGAGAAGTACTGTTACTTCCAAGTTGCCAATGTTACTTCCCTAATTATTCTGTGAACTTATTGAGGGCAGGAACCTTGTCTTAGTCAATGTATATCATCCAACACTAGATAACAGCATTAATACATAGCAGGTGCTCAAGAAATGTTCATTGAACAGAACTTGAAAGTTCTTTCAGTTTCTGGATGAATGGACTGAAAAGCAGAGTTAAGCAAAAAGTCTGCTGGACGTAGGAGATGGATCAGAGTTTTGAGTATTTCAGACTCCCGTGTCATGTCATTCTCTTATTCCAATAACAAGAAGCTCAGAGAATGGCTAACTCTTCCAAGGTATCCACCGTTCACCAAAGTGACCTTTGTTTTTCAGCTTCTGGTTTACTAGGAACTTTTCCAGCCCTGAAAGTACAAGAAGCAAGGGTTTGTGCTGAGTATACAGCAACCTCCCAGAGGAAGCGAGGAGAATTTAAAACATCAGGTTTCCATCCTATGAATATACCGCACAGACGTGACCCACAAGGTCCAGTTGTGCACAGAGAGGCACACAGCTATTTTGTCAGAAGATTAATAGACACAGGTCCCAACCAGAGCTACCCAACAACAGGATGAGAACATTCACATCTCTGTGCAAGTTCCTGATACGCTCACATTTCCAAGCGCAAAGCACAAGGGATATGTTTTCAAACTGCGTTTTAATTAAACTTCAAAACATCTTCCAGAGAATTTCCTTACGTTTCCCTCCAAACTGGAAGACATTTACAAATGACAAAATGTGTCACCCCTGCAAACATGGATTGTTTTAATGGTGACCCTTACTCCTTGCCAAGTCTACTTTGCTTTGGGGCCTGAAAAGCGAAATCACCCATCCATCTTCCACTTGAGCTCACTGGCTTGTCACTGAAGAACTGCTGGCAGATAACTCTGTTGAGCTGCTCCATGTTCTACAAAATGAAAGCAAAACAATTACAAACTGCGCCATGTTGGATTTAGTAATTCTATATTCACATTACTCTTTCTTTCACTCCTCATGAGTTTTAGTAGAACGCTTGAGTCAATGTAGAATACAAACAATACATTGAAGTGTTGTATCATGGCTATCTATAGGTGAAAGAAACTAGAAAACAGGCATGTTGTCTTAAGGAGAATTTTTTTCTCTTCGGATGACAGAGTGAGAGTCTCTTAATTCCTCAAGAACTAGAAATTTTATTCCATAACAACATTTTATGACATTATAACAACTAGTATGTCATAAAGAATAAGTTAGCCTATCACATTGCCTGATATAATAGAGCTAATACTTGTTTTCCACTAGCTTATTATGCCCAGGTTGCACTAACCTAATTAATCTTTCCAAGCATCTCATGAGGTAGAGGTTTGTTGTCTCCATTTCACAGGTGATGCAGTTTTGCCTGAGACGGATTAGACAACCTGCCCAAGAACAAGCAGAGGTCACAGGGCAGAGAAGGGACTCAAAGCCAGGGGCATCTGACTCCTGAGTCTGGACTCTGTGCGCCATTGCTACAGCATTGCAGTAAAGCTTGGTCAGAACAAGCATCTTTGAGACAAAACTATTTTGGTCTTGCTTTCAGTGAGTTCAGTGAGATCATAGGTTTGAGATGATCCTATTTTCCTCCACTCTCTACTGTCTGGGAGGGCACCCCTTACCAGCCTCTCTCCTCCTTTCCTCCTTGGCATCTTCTAAGGCTGACTGCAGCCTTCTATTTCACAAAGCTCATAAAGTGCACTCTCTCTCTCTCTCTCTCTCTCTCTCTCACACACACACACACACACACACACACACACACACACACACACACACGCAAGAAGCCCAGGTGTTTGCACAGTCCCATGAATGAGCAGCTGTTGCTTTAAAAGGAAGGTGGCAGAAGAGGCCAGGGAGCAGTGGCTGGCAGGCGGTGTGTAAACTGTACAGAGAGCCACTTTCTGTAAGAAGGCTAAAACATATTTAAAATGGGACCACCTCAGAGATGAAATCTTCCCCCTCCTGTTACCTCTCAACCTGCTCCAAAACTCCAATACTCAGTTTTTCCAAGTGTCCCTCCCCCTCCCCCTTCCCTGGAGTTTGATGATTTTCTGTGTGAACACTTGGCACATTGCAGAGCAGCTGCATTTAGGAGTCACAAACGATCGCCCAATCGCCGCAGTGAATTCTTTCCCCAGCTAACAGATGCACGTGCCCAGCCTGCGTGCCCGGCAGTCCACTGCCCACACGGGGAGACAACGAGTGAGCCAGCATCCTTTCTTTCCAAAGGGTTTTCCTCTCTGGGTTGGCTTTTGGATACTTATTTATTTCTTTTTAAATTACCTGGAAAAGAGGAAAGAAAAAGTTTCCATTGAGATCACCTTGGTTTAGGGAAGAAGAATGCCATTGGTCGCGGGAGGGCGCTGTGAAGGAACAGAGCCAGGCGTGATTTGGGTTTCAGCTTCTTTCTATTGGAAATCAGCCTGGGGATGAAGGTGAAGGTCACACACCAGCTCCTGGAGGTGTTTGCTGGCTTGACTTGGGTTCGAACACCCCGGCCTCTTGAAATCTCCCCACATTTCCCTCCGAGAGTCTGAAATTCCCTACATTTTTTAGTCAAATTTATCCTTCTACTTTTATAGCTCTCGATCTAATTGTGAAGAATCCTGCCCTAATCAGAGCTGTCTTTCTATTTTACACTAAGTGAATCTTCTAAAGAGATACAACTAAATACATATTTTATTCCCAGAGGGACACACAAGTCTTTGGGTAATGGCTACACATACTTTATTAATTCACCGGTTAGGGGAAAAAACCCATATTTTTACTTTTTACTGTGCTGGACTATTAGACCGTGTCCCTCCAATTGGCTATAGCTCTCATGACAGACCTCCTTGTCCCACATTTTCCAAGAATCACATAGATTCATATGCCTGAGTGACGACAATGACAGCTACTCTGTGAACCTAAAGGCAGAGTCAATTCTGTCCTTTCCTGCAGATAACTAGTTTTCTGGTTGATTCTGTCCTGATATCACCTGCTCCTATGGAGTCATGATCAAGAGGCAATTAGCTTGAAAAGTCAATGTCAGAACAGACTGTGTGACACTGATTCGATTGTTGGGCCTGCAGCTCATAAACTACTTGGCCTTTCTGGATGCCATGCTGAATCTGCAATTGCTTATTTTATCTTTTCTTATACCAAATATGTTTTTAGCCATTATTTCCTATTGAGTTCATGCTTTTCTTTGAGGGTTGGCTTAGCAGCAGCCTATTGCCTGGTAAATACATATTTGTTAGTCGGGAGTGACTGGGTCCCCTGGAAACATCTTCTTCATCAGGGTTGGAAGTTGCACTTCCTTGTATTCAACACAAACTGTAGCTTAATACAAATCCTGGACAGTTTCAATCATCTTTTACTGTAGTTATAATGGTGACAATAATAATAATCTCTTATGACTATTTAGTGTTTCTGTAGTCAACCACCACAGAAATAACATCTACAGAGAAACAAATCAACCTTGAGTAATCTATAACAAAAATTCAAAGTTTGAGTGTTTTAAGTACATGCAATGTATTTTATAGTAATAAAATGATAGGGCTTTTCTGATAGGTGAGAAGTAAGAGCTCGAGAATGGTTCTAGGGTGCTTTTCTATTGTTCCAGAAGAAGTCCACTCAGCAGATGCCCTCCTCAACATTCATTCCACACACTTAATAAACATTTCTCATGAGTTAGGCCCAGAGGACATAGAGACAACTGAGGCACAGTCCCTGTTTCAAGGACCCAATAGATTACCTACTGCAGTTGAACTCTGCTAAGCTTTCTGCTGGTACCACCTGGAATTAGGAGGAGAAATATTTCTGCTTCAAATACTGCATCCCTTGTTTAGCGAACACATGTTGTTTGTCTTCCCAGGGAAGGGAAAATATTTGTGCTTCCAGTTGAAAACTATGCAACTAGATTCTAGGCAAAACCTCTCTGGGTTATCAGATTCCGATTCTGTGGAAGTTGTTTTATAATTCTCTGAATTGTAAGTGACGGGTAGCAAGACAAAATAATTCTTGTCTATAATTTTGTCCTGTAGAGGTTCAATTAACTTCTTCCCAACACCCCCAGCCTTGGAAAAAATAGTTTTGCCTCCACTGGCACATTCATTTCAATCTTTTTTGAATGTGTTATAATCTGTCTTGCCCTCTCATTGATTAGTGTATAGAATAAATCTGTAGCACATGTTCATTTACATATCTACATATCTACACCAGACTTTTTTTTTCTTTTTTTAAAATTATCTTGTAACAACAGTAGCTTCCACTTGAGTGATCCACCCTTTCTCCATTCCATGTGTTTTGGAGAACTGGAGGGTTAACACAACCTTCTAGTCCTCGGAGTGAGCAAATGACCCAAACTTTGTCAAACAGAGAACTCCATTATCCCTGATTGGTTTAGGGATGGGCACATGATCAAAACTAGCCAATCAGAGTTGTCTTGAACTTTTCTGCCATGCATTATGGGAATTATGTTCTTACTTCTTTTGCATTCTTGGGTTGTAAGAAAAATGTCTACATTTTTTTTGTGTTCGTCTTCCCCAGTTGCATAAAAGAAGCTGTCCAGTACAGGAAGGAAATAATCCAACTTACAAAGAAAATCAGAGACAAGAAATGAAAAAAGACAACCCATTCAACCTAACAACCTAGTTTTGTTAGGTTCGGTCACATAGATCTAAAGGGTTCTGAAAAACAAGCCTGACTTCTAACTTTCCTGATTTTCCCCTCTCTTCCAACAGCCTTATATCTACTGCAGAGAATGTCTTTGAGCAGCTTAGCTACAATAACAGATCATTTTAAGACCACAGAGATAACTGAGATAAAGAGGGAATAACACACTACTCACTTATATTAAGACAGGCTTAAAGCAGTAGGCAGTCTTTTCTAGGGTTTCTTGTTGCCGCACACTTTCCAAAGCTGCAATAACTTCCTCTGGTACCGGAGCCCTGAGTTCATAGTTTTTTGGGTTTTTTTTCTCATCCCAGACCACCTACATGTTCAAGCACTCTCCACCTCTTTTCCCCAACCCAACAATATGGGGTACCTGTAGTAGTCTGGGTTCTCCAGAGGAACAGAACCAATAGGAGAGAGGGGGAGAAAGAGAGAGAGGGAGAGAGAGATTGATTTACTACTATAAGAAACAGGCTCATGTAATTATGGAGGTTAAGTTCAAGATCTGCAGTCAGCAGTATAGGGACCCAAGAGAACTGATGGTATAGTTCCAGTTTAAGATCAAAGACCTAAGAACCAGGAGAGCCAATGGTGTAAGTTCTGGTCCAAGTCCAAAGGAAGGAGAAGACCAATATCCCAGGTTGAAAACAGGCAGAGAAAAAGAATTCTTATCAGCCTTCTATTCTATTCAGTCCTTCAACAGGTTGGATAAGGCCCACCCACACAGGAAGAGCAATCTGCTTTACCCAGTCTACTGACCCAAATATTAATCTCATCCGGAAACACTCGCACAGTCACACTCAGAAATCATGTTGAACAGTATATGGACACCTCAGAGCCCAGTTGCACTGACACAGACAAGTATCCACCACAGTGGCCCACTCTCCTGCTAGAGCACACTGCAGAACAGAATCAAGACCAAGAAAATGAGCCAACAAGGAGTACCTCTTAAAATCAATAAATATTTAAAACATTTTTATAGAGGAGAAGCCATATGCTATGTGAGGGAAGAGCAGAGAGGGGAAAACTCTTGAGGTAGCCAGCAATTAGCCTCTCTTCTATTGCCCGTCAACAGTTCCCCTATAACATCAGATTTGCAATTCCCAGTTTAGCAAAAGGAAAGCTTTGAAGATAACCAGACTCAACCTCCTTAGAATGCAATTTAGTGATTCATTGTTGTTATTTAAGCATGCCCCTTGGGTGTCTCACTGACCCCACTCTAAGATGCTAATCAAAATAGTCCTTCAATCACAATCATAGTCCCCCAAGTTTTGGAAACACAACTTGCTCCATTCTGTACACATTCAGTGATGTTTTAACACCCTGCACAGCTATCCACCCCTTCAGGCTAGCTCTGGCTCTCTGTATTTTTCCTACAGACATTCTTTTTACGCTGTATTTTAATTGCTCAGCTACTTCTCTATATCCTGGTAGACTGTAAATTCCATGATGACTGTATCTTTTGTTCCATCACTAGTGCACGGCATAGCTTGGCCAATGTTAGGTATTCAGTAAGAATTTTTTGAACAAGTATGAATACGTTACCTCTACATGAGGATCTTATCTACCACACCTCTTTTATTGTATATTTGTCAGAGCAGTGCCCGAAACACAGAAATATATGTGTGTGTATTATAGTTTATTATATTATTATTATTATTATTATTCCTCTTGACTTTCTCCCAGGAAGTCTGTGACAAACCACCCTCCTGATTATGGGCGCTTACCTTATGACTTGGGTTCTGTAAACTGAGTTGCCCACCCACATCAGCATAATCATTTATTTACTCACCATTCAACAAATATGGTTTACTTGCTTTCAAATAGAGTGTATAATAAATATTTGCTGGTCCATAAATTATGCTCATAGGGCTACAGTTTCTAAGGTCTTTTCTTTTCTCTTTATGTTTTCCTTGTTCATCGTTTTGACCATATCCTCTAGTGAATTGCAGCCTTACCTTGATTTCCTATCACCCTTTAAGTCAAACACAAATTTCTGAGTGTTTCTTTCAAAGGCTTCTACTGGCTTGACCCACCCTCTGACTGTTTTCATCTCCTGCTCTAACCTTGTCTTCACCTTCCAGACTAACTAAATTTATTGTCATGTGGTTCCTTCCACTGGTTCTTCCTCTCCTGGCTGTGAGCCTTGGTTCAATTCTTTCCATATCTATGGAACAACAACCAAACCACAAGTTTCTCCTCTTTAAATCACAGCTCAAGGACCAACTGCTCCAAGGAGATTTTTCCCACCCATCTTCCAATCCATCAGCTCATCACTGACCCTGACTTCCACCACAGCATAACCTTGAAATGACTGAATTTATAAGTATGGTGTGGCTGTAGTCCAACTTCTGGCTTACGTCAATACTAATGGTTTAATCTCAGTATTAATCAATGTTAAATTTGGAAAGAACCAAAAGAAATGTTCAATAGTCATTAAATCAACATTGTAAATTTTAGCATTTTGTGGTGAAGAGAGTTAGGTATATTTCATTTGAGTTTAATGAATCTATTCCCTGCCTTCTTCTATGGGATTTGAGATTACAACAACACATGGCAAACAATGACAGTTAAAATTAAACATCAAGATCGAGGAAAATGTGGATAGTATAAAATAGCAAGATGACAGAGAAAACTGGAACATAAATAATCAGGCCATAGAGTCCTCCATGGTTAGTAAAGCTGAATTGCCCATTTAGCTCTGATTTTGGCACTCAGATTATTCATCAAGCCCTCTTTTTTTTTTTTTTTTTTTACTTAATATTTAAAATTAATCCATCCTCTGAATGACATGAAAATGATCAGGTTACTAGTACTTTTTGGAGTTGATGCTATAGTGTTTTCAAAAAAGTTTCATGTGAAACATAGTCCCAAAAGACCTGGCATAAAAAGGGGGGTAGGGGGCGTCTGTGTTCAATTCGGGAAGCTTTGAGTAATCCCACAGAAAATAACCTTATTTTATTTTGTAAAAACCCAGTACTTCCCAAACGGATTGGAACCCGATCTCCCAACTTTCTCCCCACATCACACCCCACAGAAGTAGCTTGCAAGTGGCTCCCCTGGGAAAAGGTAGTGTAACAATAACAAAGGAATCAGGACCAAAACACCTTGAGATGCTTCAATTGTATTTGTAATGTTTTAGTCACTAAGCTGGGTGGGGGATGTACAGGTATTCACAATACAATTCTATATACTTCTTGATGTGCTTGATATATTTCCTAATTACAAAAACAAAAATAAAAAATTATCCCCCTGATGGAAATCTAGCTTCCAGCAGCTTCTCCAAAACAATGAGCAGTGAAAGGGTGCTGACTTTAACTGTGGAATGGCCTCTACTTCACAGCTCGATTATTATTTGGAACAATGATAATTATAACAGTAACAATAACAGCAGCAGATCCTTACAGAGTACTTACTGTGTGTTGATCATTATTTTCAGGGCCCTACTCCGATCAATTCTTCTAATCAACCCTCTGCACCAGCACTATTATTATTCACATCTTACACATGAGGAAATGGAACCATAAAGAGATTAAGTAACTTGCTGGAGGGAAGAGGCAGAGCTGGGATGCCGATCACAGCAGCCTGACTCCTGAATCTGTGTTTTACCAGTACCCTGCACTGCATAAGCCTCATTTTACGCAGTGTGGTCAAGGAAGATCTCCCCAGTATGGAGACATTTGAGCAAAGCCCTGAAGGAACTAAGAGAGAGAGGCATGAAGGTTTCTGGAAGAATAGCACCCCAGGCAGAAGGAACATCAAACCATTGCCTATGAGGCAGGTGTGCTTGGCCAGTTTGAAGAACTCTATAACATATATGACCCCACACA